TATGTATAAAGTATGATGTATGTAAGCGCGCGCGCGCTCGCGCGAACAAACGGACGGACGGACAGCAGACAGACAGACAGACAGACAGACAGACAGACGGATGGATGGATGGATGGCTGGCTGGATGGATGGACGGACGAGGGTGGTTTTCTGACGAAACGCCGCTGGTGGCGTGCAGCGGCGCGTCCTTAGCCGCGAGATACGCCACGAGACGATACGGTACGGGAGCGAAACGAATAAATACGGTGTTACTCCTCTCATCTGGCTGGCTCGGTCACTCGCTCCGCCGCCACCGCCGCTGCAAGAAAGTGCCACCGCTAAGAAAAAAAAAAAAGAGTACTTGATACTTGTGCGGGCAGAGACGGTGCGACGCGGAGTGACGCGCTGCCGCCCGATGTCGGCGAATATCGAGCGTCGCGGTGGCCGCGCGATAACGACGAATTCTCTCTCGCGCTGGCCCCGAACGGAAATCTCTCTCGCTCTCCCCCGCATCATTTCTATCCTCCTCTCCTTCTCTCTTCCGCGATAATGGCGTACTTTCCGTAGTCATCGGGCCTGTCGTTTTTCTTACTCGCTCCTTTTCTCTCCCTCTCTCCCCCCCCCCCCCCCTCTCTTTCCCTCTCTTTCCACCGTTCGTCGCCGTCATCATCGATGTGTCGACGACGCGAGTGACCCCGACGACGCTTCTCACGTGAGAGAGAGAGAGACTCTCGTTCTCGCCGCGACGCCGATTTCAACGTATGCCATAACCCCGCGACAAACCGCGGCATAGACTGGCATAGAGACAAGCGGCTTCCTATTTCACGGCTGTAAAGACGTGACGATGAGATACAGCCGAGCGTGAACTGCCGCGGTGAAAGAGAGAGAGAGAGAGAAAGAGAAAGTATATAGAATCTCTCCTTTTTTTCTTACCACCGTTCGTTCGTTCGTTCGATGCAGTTTCGACCGCTCGTTCGCTCATTCGTTCATTCGCTCGCTCGCTCGCATTCTCGCTCTCGCTCTCTTGTTCACTCGCGCACGCACACATCGAGTGAGTGTATTTTTGTTCGTTTTCCATCGAGACACGAGAACGTTCTCTTCTTTTCTCTCTCTCTCTCTATCTCTTTCTCTTTCTTTCCCCTGCTCCCCCACTGTCGCGCGTCGCGCTGTATTTGTCAGTGTGTATCAGGTTTATACGTTGCTCCAATTTTTTGTTTCATCTGTTTTATTCTTCTCCGTCCTTCCTTCGCTCTCCCCCTTCCGGCGTTCTCTTCTTCGTTTTATTCGACGTTGCCTATCGATCGGCGATATCGCGTCGATTTTCGTCAGTCCGATGGAACGTTTATTTTACGAGACGACAATGCCATATTGTTACACGCAAGGAAGCCGCGAGTATTGTTCGCTCGCGCCGGCGACCCCGCGGTCTGTCATAGTTTCGGTAAAAGTTGGACACCCCCTCCCTCCCTGCCGAGCTTGATAATATCTCTCTCTTCTCTCTTGAGTTTCTCGACACCTCGTGTCTTTCTACTTTAATTCCTTCGCTCCCGGAGGTGCTGCTCCACAATGAATTTTGTCGCTCGCTATCGTATAAAAAAATAATGACTCACTGAAAACATTCGCCGTGCATGGAGTGCCATTGACTGCGTTTATCAGAAAAAGTAGCCTTGCAGCTATTATAAAATTCTTCAACATGATCTTAGACATTTAGATCCAGTAAGGAACCTAAAGGCAGAACCAATCATGTTAAAGAATTTTACAACAGTTGCAAAGCTGCTTTTTCTGATGGCTGAACGCAGCCACTATATTGGCTCGCGTCGAAAATTTCCGCTGTACACTCTCTAAATTCTTTAGAGTGGAATCTCACTCTAAAGAGTGAAAATTGAGCTAGTCTTGAAAAAAAGTGGGTCAATTTTCTTGAATATCCGTTTATACCAGGTTTAACTTGTTCTTCTTTTTCTAATTCTTAGAACTAGAAAAAGACAAAGAGTCAGTTGAATCAAGATTAAAATTTAATTACATTGGTAGAGAAGAGAACAGGCATAAGAGTGAGATTTCACTGTTCAAAATGAGATTTACTCTAAAAGTTTTAGAGAGCATGTGTACGTGCAGTGAACGTGCACGCCGCGTGTCCGGACGATGATTCATTGTTAAACCATTAGACAAACTCAGATAGTTTACGGTCATTTTGCACAAATATGCGAATCACACAACACCGACAACGATCGCGTCGTGCCGTTTGTGCGCGCGACTTTACGCCGGAAAAAGAGGTAGCACTCCCGTGCGAAGTGCCGCTTCTCTCGCGTCTCACTTCGCGTCGTACAGCGCTTTTCATTTATATTCCTCTTGTCCGCGACGATTCTAATAATGCCCCTCTCGCTCCTCCCCTTCCTTCGCTTGCGCTCTTCCCTCTGAGAAACCTCGATATTTCATTCATGACTTTCATGGAAATTATTACTCGTTTCTATTGGGGTCTAATAGCACCGGGATACGCAAAAGCCGTAACGCAAAAACGTTTTTCTGTGAATATCTCGGTATGTCGAAACGATTCGATTGCGAAATATTTCACGAAAGATGGCAATTATCATGCCCCAATTACGGCATAATATATCGTCCTCGATGTTTTTATTTATGCGCCTTCCTTTACGTAGACATTTATTTTCTTCCCTTCTCGATTGATGTTCCTCGTGCTCTTGAACAAGTCTAGAATTGTTGTAGCTGTCTGTTGTTAGTACTCATGATACACACATATATATGTGTGTGTGTGTGTGTGTGTGTGTGTGTGTGTGTGTGTGTGTGTGTGTGTGTGTGTGTGTGTGTGTATGTGTGTATGTATGTATATATATATAATTGTAAGGTTTTGATATGAAAATATGGCCAGATGTTGCAAGCTGGATATATTCCGAGGGGGAAAAGTTATGGCGATTATGAGGAATTGAACCATAAGCGTATAGCTTTTCCCCTTTGGCGTATGTCGCTCCAACGAAGAGAGAGAATCAATAGAATTCTTATACCGTACTACATACATAAAAACTCGGAAACCTGCAAGAGTATCCAGAGTATGTAAAATTTTTTTCTATTGTTTCAGACAGCAAGAGCTTGGGTTTACTACCATGGGCACGTTACTGGCTATAAAAGAGATCGTACAATATTCTCCTAAGTCTGAAATGGGGACGAGGAGTCCTTCAGCGTAGACATGGACTACGATCTGTTTGGTGAAGATGTCAGTGGCTCGATGCTCGAGGCTCTTCCTGATCTCGGAGGGAACGATCACTTCGATCCTGCGCCTGCGAATAATTCCGTAGCGGTGTCCAGAGACGGTCTGAATTCCGGCCCTAATGGAGGAGGGAGTTACATTAGCCAATCTTATAACATTTCTCAAGAATCTCCAATACAAAAATTAACCTCATTCGGCGGATCTGAATTTGGTGGCTCGAATCAATTGCAAAATCCGTCGCAGCGCAGCATGTTTAACCAAAATCTCGGTACGTTCGATAATAGCGCCACACCTCAGCGTGCTATGGTGCCGGGCGCGTTTCAAAATCAGACTCGTAACATTGCACCGCAACAGCATAGGGGGCCTCATCCGGGTACCGGTGGTCAGTATCCTAGTTACAATGACAATATATACTCTATGGAGCAGCAACACTCGATGGCTAGAGCCAACATGAGTATAGATCCTAGCCAACAAGGTTGGCCGGGTAATGGAACTGGTTATCCACAGATGCAGAGGCATTACAATCAGATGGCTCCACAGCCTGCCACATACAGGCAACACATGCCACCACAGTATTCTCATCAGCAAGATCAAGCTGGTGTTATTAATCAAAAGATACAGCAGCAACAGCAGCAGCAACAACACTTTAGTCAACAAGGGATGATAGGCAACATGGGGGTTTTGCATCAATCGATGCAACCTGGCGCGACCGGTGGGGTCTATCAGCATATGGTTGGGCAGCAACAACATTACCAGCAAGGTAATTCGGTAGCGGCGATGTATCAGACGACTCCCGGTTATCCTGGTTTCGCTTCGGCGATTCATCAGCAACAGCAGGCTCAACAACCACCCCAGGCGAGAATGCCGCATCATCATCCGACGCATCAACCGCATCCGTCTCATCCTCAACAGTACCCTCAGCACACTCCTCAACATCCGAACACGCAACAACAACCGACGATGGATCCTCAATATCCCCATCATGCCACATCAATGTTTAATCAACCTCAACATTCAGCGCCGCCACAACAACAGTTCGGCACAGCACCGACTAAACACTCGACGAGTCCACAGTATCGCGCTGCGTTCCCACAGTTATCACCACAAATGTCGCCACGGCCACAAATGTCTCCGCGTCCACCGGCGGTGCAGCAGCAGATGTCACCGCGACCCATTATGTCGCCTGCCAAGCCCACCACGCTTTCGCCACATCCTCACGTTCAACTTCCACATCAACAAAGCAATCAGGCTAACGCGATGTCAGTGTCACCCTCGTGTCCGCCTACATCTATGCAAATGAATCCATCATCGCAACAACAGCAGACTACTCTGCAGGCTCTCGAACAGATGGTGATGCCGGGAGTCGCTGTGTCGAATTCCAGCGTTCCCACTCCGGATCAGTATAATCAGTTCCAAACACGTCCGCCAATGTCGCAGACACCGAATGTTCTGCCGCAGCAACCGACGGCGCAGAGTCCGATGCCAGGTCAAGTCACGGGGCCCAGAATGCCAATGCCCGCTCAGTGGCAATCACATCCACAACAACAGCCGCAACAATCGCAGATTAGGCCAAATATCGGCGTTACCGAGGAAAGAGGTGGCATAATAGAGCAGCCTCAGCAAGCGCCAATAGTATCCGAGCAGAGTACTCCGATGTTCCCCGTCGCTGGACCGGAGACTACTGTTCATAACGTTGTGGAAACGGCGACAACGACGAGCACAACGACAACGAGAGAACCGACGACGTCGACGGAGAACGTCGTGCAGAACCCGATCGAAACCCCGAAACAACCAGAACCCGAGCCTTCTTTGCATCAGAGCGCTCAGCAGACTCAGCAACCGGATGCAACCGCGCAACTCGGCCCACCGCAAGTGGACACATCGGCACAAAATAATTCGCAAAATAATTTATCTTTAGATCATACATCTACGGTAGGAAATATGCCTACACCGGCGAGTATATCTCCGATTGAAACGGTGCAGTCTCTTCCCGCGTCCAGCACAAGTGGCAATATGGAGTGCACAAATGTGACTACGTCATTACAACAGCAACAACAACAACAACAACAACAACCGGTTATTACACCGATTCAAAATCCCGTTTCTGGTATTGAGAATCCGAGTGTGTGTGAAGCGAAACCACAGGAACAAAATATAGAAGTACATCAGCCGCCATTGAGCAGTACAACGCAACAAGTCATGATACAGCAACAACCACAGCATACTCAGCAACAGCCTATCAATTGCCCTCCACAGCAGCCGATGCAACAGCCAGTACAACAATCGGTGCAACAACCAGTGCAACAGCTTCATATAACTCAGCCACAGGTAGTCCAGCCTCAGGCTACGATACCGCCTCCTCAACCTCAGTTGCAATCGTCACAACAATCTCAAATTAATCAATCGCAGCCTGTTCAAATAAATCAGCAATTGCAATCACAGCAGCAAATACCTCAACCGCAACCACCACCACAACAACAACAGCAACAGCAGCAAATTGCACCCACTCAACAATCGCAAATTCCTCAACCTCAACAACCCATATTGAGTCAAACACAGCCGGTGCAGTCTCAACAAATTCCACCAGCGCCTCAGCCACAACTGGGACAACCACAGCCACAGTTGGGACAAGCACAGCCTCAATTAGGACAACCACAGCCCCAACTAGGACAATCGCAAGCCCAGTTAGCGCAGCCACAGCCACAGTTAGCGCCGGTGGCTCAGCAGAGTCCGACTGTCGTTACACAACAGGCTCAATCAACGACGGCGACACCACCACAGACGCAACCACCCCATATGCAACCTCAGCAGGTCGGCATAATGCCACAGGGTGCGGCGCTGATGCAAACGCAGCCGATACAAAATCCGACATCTCAGATGCAGAACCAGAACGCTCAGGTGCCGTCTGGACATTTAAACGCACAACAAATACCCGCAGTCAGTCAGACTGCCGGTATGGTATTGCCGCCGCATCAAGCTGCGGTTCCCGTGCCAAATTCGCAAACACCACATCAGGTATTATCAAAATATTGTTAAAGAATATATCTCAACATAATAATTTTATTTAGAATATTCTGTGATATATTCTATGTCCTACGATAAAATATATATATTCGTGAAATATATATTTTACATAAATCAGTTGTGACAATATATATTTCTTATTGATATAATTAATTTTTTAAATAATAGTATCATCCTGGAGGCGACATGATCACTGGCAACACAATGCCGAACATGTATAGCATGCCGACTAATCCTACACAAACCCCAGTCGCAACTGCTGGTTTTGGCACGTCTTGTGCACCGCTTACGCATCATCAAGAACGAGCCGCATTGCAACAGCAGTTACAGGAATTGTACTGCATGCCACCGGCTCCAGAAAATCAAGAAAAGGTTGTCGCCTTGCAGGAGAAATTGCAGGCGTTACAGCAACACGAAACGAATGATCAATGTAATGGTGGTCCACAATGTATACTACAAACACCGATGTTTACAGCTGCTGTAGTTGATAGTCCACAGGTAAAGTATAATTTCTTTGTTATACGATGAATATAATTTATGTTTAAAAGAAATATTTTATTTGAGAATATCTGAAATTAACTAACTTTTCTAATGCCAATTGAAAAATCAACATTACTGTTAGTCTAACTCAACTACATGAAGAATACTTGTATATAATTGATATTTGGGACCCTACATAGCAAACAGAGATTTAAATGATTTTTTTTTCTTTATAATTTTTACTTCTGTTTATATTGTATCTTATCTTTGAAAAAAAAATTATCTATTAAATATTATTGAAAATAGGTTTCCAGTACTACTGGACGTGGTCGTAGTAAAGGTACGCCTCGAGCAAAGAAAAGTCGTAAAAAAGCCGATAAAGAGGCATCTGCACCTACCACTGCCACTCAGCAACCCGAGCAACCTTTGTCGGACAATAAAGTCACTCCAGGTGATAGCAGCAATGTAGTAGACAGTGCTGCAGATTCGGAAGATATTAAGCCATCTTCTGGAGATATGGAAGAAGAATGGAATAAAGGCAGAAAGTCCCGATCGCCTCGAAAACCACGCAAGCCGAAGGAACCTAAAGAACCCAAAGAGCCGAAACCTAAGAAGGAACCAAAACCACCCAAGGAACCGAAATCACCGAAAGTGGCGAGAAAGAGAAATAAGGATAAAGACAAAGATTCAACAAAGCGTAACAGAAAGTAAGTATGATATCTAGAAACGGACATATTTACTCGTGTATTATAAACTAGCGTTATATTTACTAATACTCTTATAGAAAAACTAATCAATCTGAGTCCGCTGATGATGAAGTTGTACGCGAAAACGAAGAAACTGCCGTTTCGGATTCTAGTGCTGTTAAGGATGCCGAGACAAAGGTCTGTGAATCATCCATACAGGGTGATCAGGAACAAGTGGATTCTTCCACCAATGAACCTATGTTATCCGAAATAAAGGAAGAAGGCAAAGAGAAAACAGGGACAGAAGATGCTACAGAGGAGGATAAAAAAGATGAAAACTCAGAAGCGACTACTGCAACTGCTGAAAATACGACTAGTAAAAAGAAATCTGCTGCTAGGAAACGATCTAATACTGGCAAGTCGTCCGGGGGGAAAAGTTCCAGAAGTTCTAAGTAAGTAATAACTATTTTATTAATCAATAATGTTTGATAACGAATACCATATGTAATGACTATAAAATTTTATCATTTTTTTTATAGAAAACGCAAGAGTCGCATTGCCCCTGATTCTGATGGCGAGGAACTAGCGGCAACACCTCCGCCATCACCGGAAGCTGGTGATGATGTGAATAAGCGGCGATCCGCGAGAAACACTCATCGCAAGAAGTATGTAGATGATGTAATGTTGCGGTTCTCTGATGATGATGTTCCTATGCAAGAAGCTCAAGTGTCGAAAAAAGTGGAGGGTGCAAATACTTCAAAGCCTGCTGCCACCAAAAAAGAGGGTGGTGAGGGCGGCGAAGTCGGGCCTAACAAACCCAACTTTGTATACATTGTACGTATCTTTCGAATTGTTAACTGCTTTTGTAAAGATTGTTATGACAATCGCCATAATTTTAATTGTACTGGTCTGTTTTATAGAACACTACAGATGAAGACTCTATGGTTGTGCAACATATTTTATGCTCTCGAATGGGAAAGAGAGAAGTTAAGCCCGTGGTACCCAAAGTAGAACCGCCTGTAGAAAAGAATGAAAACGCGGATAAAGAAGAATCTGACAACAAAGACGCGACATCTGATGATTCTGTGAAAAAAGAAGGTACGGAAAATACCGAGAAAGAAGCGAAGACTGAGGCCAAAGACGAGGAAAAAAATGAAACTGATAGCGTAAAAAAGGAAGATGCAAAGAAAGCGGAAGAATCTTCCTCGGATTCGAAACCAGTCGAGACTACCGCTGTTGTCGAGACGAAGCCACAGTTCGTCGAAGTCGAAGAATATTTCGTTAAATATCGGACTTTTTCCTATTTGCATTGCGAATGGAGAACGGAAGAGGAAATGTACAAAGGCGATAAGCGTATCCAAGCTAAATTAAAAAGATTTAAGCAGAAGCAACAACAAAACACCAACATTTTCGAAAATGTACTTTTGACGTTTGTTATTTTAACTTATGAATATGATATATTGATGATTGCATATTAAAAATTAACATTAAAAATAATTTAAAACCCATTTTATGAAAACCTTTCTTTCTTAGACCGAAGATGATCCCTTCAATCCAGATTTTGTCGAAGTTGATCGAGTTTTAGATGAAGCAACTCACAATGATCCAACTACTGGAGAAACAGTCAGACATTTTTTGGTTAAATGGCGATCTCTGCAGTATGAGGACTCTACCTGGGAATTAGAAGAAGATGTTGATCCTGAAAAAATAGCTCAGTTTGCGAAATTTAATAAGGTGCCACCAAAGGAACAATGGAAGGTATATATTAAAATTTGTATATATATATATATTTTACAAAATTTAAAATTAAATATGCAAATTTAATGTTTTACTTATCTTTTATACACATTCATGTATATATTCTTGTTATTCCAGCCGAAGAAAAAGCCCAATGCTGCAGCCTGGGTGAAACTGGAAGAATCACCAGTTTACAAGAGCAATAACATTTTACGACCTTATCAATTGGAAGGATTGAATTGGCTGCTATTTTCATGGTACAATGGACACAATTGCATTCTCGCTGATGAGATGGGCTTGGGAAAGACGATTCAGTCTCTGACATTCGTAGACGCGGTCTACAAATACGGAATTCGCGGACCATTCTTGATTATAGCTCCGTTGTCGACCATCCCAAATTGGCAGCGAGAATTTGAAAGCTGGACTGATATGAATGTCGTAGTATATCATGGATCGTAAGTATATTAATGCAATTTTATCTATATGCAGAAACAAACTGAATTGTCACTGTTATAAATTTAAATTATAGTGCGTCAAGTCGTACCATGCTACAAGAATTTGAAGTTTATTACAAGAACGATAAGGGACAGCAAATCAAAGATTTAGTAAAATTCAACGTGTTGATAACAACGTTTGAGATCATTATAACGGACTTTAATGAACTACGTGGATACAATTGGAGACTCTGCGTTATAGACGAAGCTCACCGATTAAAGAACCGAAATTGTAAGCTCCTCGAAGGCCTCAGACAATTGAATCTGGAGCACAGAGTACTTTTGTCAGGCACACCGTTGCAAAATAACGTCAACGAACTGTTTTCCTTGTTGAATTTCCTCGAACCGCAGCAGTTTGCAAGTAACGAAGCATTCCTGAAGGAATTTGGTAACCTAAGTAGCGAAGGCGAAGTGCAAAAGCTGCAACTTCTCTTGAAACCGATGATGCTACGTCGCTTAAAGGAAGACGTTGAGAAATCATTAGCACCAAAGGAGGAAACTGTTGTCGAGGTGGAATTGACTAATATACAAAAGAAGTATTACCGCGGAATTCTTGAGAGAAATTTCTCGTTTCTTGCTAAGGGCACCACTTCGGCCAATATTCCGAATCTCATGAACACAATGATGGAATTGAGAAAGTGTTGTATCCATCCATTCCTGCTGAATGGCGCCGAGGATCAGATACAACTAGATTACAAGACCGGCGAGAAAGAAGATTCCGAGGCGTATTATCACGCTCTGGTGAACAGCTCCGGAAAGATGGTTCTGATCGACAAGTTACTGCCGAAACTGAAAGCCAGTGGTCATCGAGTCTTGATATTTAGCCAAATGGTAAAGTGTCTGGATCTGCTTGAAGACTATCTGCTGTATAAAAAGTATCCATATGAAAGAATTGACGGTAGAATTCGCGGAAATCTGCGACAGGCCGCCATTGATCGTTACAGCAAACCAGACTCGGATCGGTTCGTCTTCTTGCTCTGTACGAAAGCAGGTGGACTCGGCATTAATTTAACTGCGGCCGACACTGTCATTATTTATGATAGTGACTGGAATCCACAGAATGATTTACAGGCGCAAGCTCGGTGTCATCGAATTGGGCAGCAAAAAATGGTCAAGGTATACCGTTTGCTCTGCCGTAATACGTATGAACGTGAGATGTTTGACAAGGCATCTCTAAAATTGGGACTTGATAAAGCGATCCTGCAATCCATGAATACTAGCCAAGGCGGTAAAGATCCCAGCAATAAACAATTGACAAAGAAGGAAATCGAAGATCTACTGAAAAAAGGTGCTTATGGTGCTATTATGGATGATGACAATGCTGGCGACAAGTTCTGCGAGGAAGATATTGAGCAGATTCTTGAACGAAGAACTCAGATTATTACCATAGAAGCAGAAAAAGGCTCGACATTCTCGAAAGCGAGTTTCGCATGCTCATCGAATCGGTCAGACATTAATATAGATGACCCCGACTTTTGGAAGAAATGGGCGAAGAAAGCGGAGATTGATACCACGGAAAAGAAGGAGGAGGATGAGCTAGTGATATCCGAGCCTCGGCGAAGGACACAAATTAAGCGTTATGGTCATGACGAATCAGTGGTTGACATGTCTGAATTGGACAGCTCAGACGAGAACAGCGATGATGACGCGATCGGCTTGTCTGGCAGAAGTAAGAAGCGACGCGACAAGTTCGGCAAAAAGACACGCAAGTTCTACGATGAATACGTGCCACGCGAAGGCGAGGTAGTATACGGCAGTTGGGCGCGCAGCGAATGTTTCAAGGTCGAGCGTGGACTGCTGACGTTTGGCTGGGGACGCTGGGAAGAAATTCTGCAGCATAGCCAGTTTCGTCGCGGTTGGCGTGAAGTCGACGTTGAGGATTGCGCTCGCGTCATTCTGCTCTATTGCCTGCGCTATTATCGCGGCGATGAAAAGATTCGTAGTTTTATCTGGGATCTTATCACGCCCATTGAGAACGGTGAGAAGGTAAAGTGCGTGTCGGTGAACACTAGCAGCAGAAACAGTCGGCAGAAGAAGAAGAGCCGTGTCCGAGAGGGCAGAGAGACCCGGGGATCGGTCATCAATGGCGGACCGAGTGACCCCAATCATTGGAGCAACGCGGAAAAATTCGATGGAGACATCTTTCTTGAGAGCAACTATAGAAAGCATCTCGGTCGACATGCTAATAAGTAAATATACACAAAATTATAAATTGTGAGGAGTTTGAATGTTAGAGAGGAAGCATAAGTCATCTTAAATTTTCTTCTAAATTACAATGTTATGGACGTTTATAAGTAATATTTGTTTTTTTTTTTGCGTTTTTATTTTTGTTGATTATTATAAATCCCCAACATTTGTCATTTTTTAAATTAAAATTATTGGATGCAGTAACAGTTATTTATTTAATTTCTCAATTTTTATTCATTCTTATTCAGAGAATTTGATTTATTGTTTTTTATCTTACAGAGTATTGTTGCGTGTACGAATGCTGTATTATATCAAACACGAGATTATTGGCGACTTAGTCCAGCATATCAATGACGGCGTTCATGTCAGGTGAGTCCACATCATTCTTCTCCTCTCACGCTTTTTCGTACCATAGACTACCATCTATCACAGATTCGTGTATACTCACATATGTGCTTACCACGGAGCTTAGCATAGTTGCATGTGCGATGTATTTGTTGATATCCTGGGAGCTATACCTGTATGAGGAATGCTCATAGAGCCCGGATCAAGTTGGTCCATGTAGCTCTGCAGAACGACTACCAATTCGTTTTTTACCCTACGCTACTAATATAAAATCGTTTTTTCCCCATCCTGTATGCACGTATCAATACGTTAACATATACACGTGCGCTCGCGAATCGCTACGAGAGAGAGACACTTGGTAAAACTGTCGCGAGGATGATCGAATTTCTGCAACAGAGTGGTAAGCCATAAGACTTGTTGCTAAGCAGTGCACTGTAATCGAAGGGAGATAATCGGAAACGTGTGATTTTAAAATCTCAAAGAGGGATGGGGGATCCGGATATTTTGTGTGTCGTATTATATTTCTGAAATTTTTATACAGAAAAAAATCCCGTGTTATTGCGAAGGGAAATCTCCCTTGAAATCCCTTTATATAAATTTGTTAATTAAAATTTCCCTTTATAAATTAATGAACACGCGCTGATATCGGCACGTAAGCAAATTGGCAAACTTTGTAAAACGAAACCGCCCTGCAGTGCGTTGCCGCTAGACCTTCCACAGTTGACGGACCGACCGGCGAAATGGTGGGACTCGACAGCAGATAAATCCTTAATAGTCGGCTGCTACAAACACGGCTATGAGAATTACGACCAGATGAGGACTGACCCCGCGCTTTCTTTCATTACAAGCTGTCCTCCCCCTTTCCAGAACTCTCAGAACAAGAGTACCACCGAGTGAGTACCTTAGTCATTTTTTTCTTTATTCGTTATTTGTTCATCTCTCTCTTTCTTTTATCTTCTTTATGCCCTGCCTAACTGTCCTAACACTTATGCCGCTTGCACCGCTTTCTATATATATATATATATATACATATATATACGCTTGTACGGTCATAGCTTTTATTTTCAGCAATAGAATGGCGTATATAATGTTCACTTTAGCCTCATTCTTTAACTTTTGAATCTTCTTTGCGAAATATTATCGACCAGTGAATGCTGTGCACAAACAGCAAAAATTAGGAAGGAACAGAATTTGTTTGTATCTACTACATTTTGAGAATATGGCGTCGTTCTTTTGCTTTCAGACTCTTCTCTGTCAAAGATATTTTATCACATATATGAAAAAGCTGCGCGCATTAAAATAGATCATCTAACTTCGCTGCCTTTCTATTTATAGTTGACGTTACGAAACATCAAGAGAGGAAACGATAAATTAAATCAATAGATACCATTCTCTTTTTTTCTAGTTCTCTTCATTCTACGGAATAAAACTTGGACAGGAATATCGTGTAAAATAATTTCAAAGTTTATTACATACGTATATGCGCGACAAACGAGTATCTTGTTTGTTTTATTCAAAAGAAAAAAAAACGTTTGATATTATCCTTATCCTGCTATTTTCCAAAATTTCAGCAGTAGCAGTAGAGACGACAACAGTCTGGAGAACGATATGGAGGATGGTGAATCTCCTGGAATGACAAAAGATTCGAAAGATTCTGACAAGTTTAGTCGAGAAACACCAGCAGATTCCCCTGCCATCTCGAGTAAGGCGGACACGCCAATACCAGAGGCTAGTGGCAGCCACGACGGAAATGACGGTCTTATCACAGATGACGAAAAGTCATCTTGGCCTGCTGTGGTAGAGCTTAATACACGACTGCGTCGCATGATATCTTCCTTTCAGCGAAATGTTAATAAGAAAGAGGATGTTAAAGTTATTCCAAAACCTGGAAAGATGGGAATGGACAGCGAGACCACTCCCATAAATCATACCGGCATGATGCATGAACCACTTTCGAATATGCAAGGATGGGATTTGCAGCAATTAGCAATGTATCTTTTGGTTAGTATATAAGATCATTTTGTTGTACATTTAAAAAAAAAGTCCATTACATTATTTGAGGTGTCTTACGTTATATTTACAGAAGATGGAGAAAAAAGAAAAAATGGAGGCCATAGTGAAAGAGCGAGAACGTACTCGATTCGAGGAACAAAAGGCGAAGTGGACCCGCCGTGAAGAAAGCGAGTTCCTACGGGTGGTGTCTACGTATGGCGTTAATTATGATAGGAAAAAGGCCCAGTATGACTGGACCAAATTCAAAAGTATCGCTCGATTTGACAAGAAAACAGACAACGATCTCACAGACTACTATATGTCGTTCAGAGCAATGTGCAAAAAAGTTTGCAACGCGAAACTGAATGAAGAGGAAGGTGCGTCCTTTCTAATTTTTTTTTTAAATTAATATATTCAATTTTATTAATTTTTATTTATACAATACTAATTATATAATTGGTATTTATATAATTGAATATATTTTTTTTGTTCTGCGTAAAGTATTTTACTTAGTTGACGTTGCAGATTTTACAGATGTTCCAGTGGATCAGCTGAGTCCTGCCAAAGCGAGACAAATACTCGATCGTGTTGATCTTCTGAGCAAAATCCGCGAGGAAATCCTGTCGCATCCGCATCTCGAGGAACGGCTCTCGTTGTGTCAACCATCGGGAGATACGCCGGATTGGTGGCAGGCAGGGAAACATGACAAGGAATTGTTACTCGGAGCAGCGAAGCATGGTCTCGGGCGTACCGATATAACTATACTAAACGACCCGGACTTTTCGTTTCACAAGCTTCTTACGACGAGAGGAATGTATGCAAGCACGCAGACTCCTAAAGTAATAGATAAGTCCGAAAAAGCGATAAAGATCGAGAATAGAGAAGATATTTTGAAGTTTGACAAGGACGAGATACTTGTGAAACTGGAGAAAGGCGAGGGAACTTTAAAGATTGAAAAAGTTGGAGCGAAAAAGGACAAAGACCAAAGTACTTCCGATAAGAAACCCGAGAATGTGGACTCTGAGAAAAGCCAAGTGGAATTGACTATCGTCAAAACAGAGGCTAAACCCGAAGAAAAATCTATCGGTAGTTCGTTGACGATCACCACCGTCGCGAGAACATCGGACGTGGAAAACGTCGCTGTAAAGAACGAGGAAAAGAACGAGCTAGCGATAGAGCCAATTAAATGCGACAGCACCAAAGCTAATCAGACAGGCACTGCCAAGTTGACCGATGAAAAGGTCACGAATGAAGCTAGTTCGGACAATGCGGAGAGTTCTGCTGTTGTAGAACTTGAGAAAGAGGATAATGTACAAGAAAAAGATATTAAACACGAAGCCGAATCCGCTGAGAAATCAGATGAGTCACAAGCGCAAGAAATTGTAATGGAAACAACCGAGAAAAATGAAACAGAAATTAAGGAGAAGATCGAGGATGTTGAGAAGAGCACTGAAACTATCGAGCCCGTTGTCGAAGATGATAATAACAAAAGCGCAAAACCAGATAATCCACCGATGAAGGAAGAGATCGAGACGCAAGAAGCAAAAAATTCGGACGTTACTAAAGAAAAGGCGAAGGTTCCGCAAATTGATGATAAGTGCAGCGTCCAGGCTGCAGAATTGAAAGCAATGTTCCCAGATTTAGAGGTGATACAACCACTGTCACGGTTAACGCAGATCGATACATTTGTTTTACGAGATAAGCCGGCGGATTACAGTAACGAGCCTACAGTGATGCAACTCCTGGCACATGGCTGCACTAATACATCTATAAAGTGGCCGAAGGTAAACTTTTTTAAATTTTTGATAAGCTTTTATTTACGCACATAATATGAAAAATTTAATATGAAAAATATTTTATTAGATATTTAAAAAAAGGAAATTTAGTGTACATTTTAATTTATACACTATATATAGGCTCATTATTATTTTATTATATGTATCTCGAATTCTATTATACTTATTGATTCGCCTTTACTTTTTAGGAGCACGCGATCGAAGCTCGTTTAATGCACATCGTGCACGCGATAGAACACAAAGAGTGGCCGGTGTCGGTGAACTTTAGTGCCGGCGAGGAGTTGGAGCTTGCGCAAAACGAAAAGGAATGTTCGGAAGTGATAACAATCACCACGGACCACGGAGTGTCTAGATCTATAGTAAGCGGAAACAACATCTCCGCTTCGAAGAAACGCAAAAGGCATATTGCCATAGATGTAGAGACCGAGCGAGGTAATTAAAAGCATTTTTATACTAATAATACAATCACACGTTTGTCATAACTGAGCATATTTATTGTGTATGATTATTTATTTCATTTTACAGCTAAGCTTCATGCGCTTCTCAATAGCAGTCACTTAAGTACGCCATCACCCGCGCCCCTCAGCAAACCAGTTGTTCTCTCTGGTTCGACCACCTGGGAGATCAATGATGAATCCCAGTCCGAAGAATCACGACGCTCTACGCCGGTCCAGCCACCGCCAGCACATCAACAAACGCGAACACCGAATATACCCTTTGACTTAAAATACACCGTTCCAGGGAAAACGACCGTTATACCTGGGACATCGAGCACTTTGACGCCTATCGATCTATCCGCTGGGTAAGATATTCGATAAAATATCTAATAATGTAATTAATATAATGTTATGAATATCTTTAAGGTATTTCATAATCAGTTCTTATATTCAAGATTGTCTTAAGTTCTGTCTTGAGGTGTTACGAACCAATCAGAGAGCCACATTAGCATCTTAAGACATTACTTAAGATGGTCTTGAAATAAGAATCAACTATGAATACCAGCCTTTGAAAATATTTTAATGATTATATTTATTTCAGATATCCTAAATCAAGCTCTGATAGTAACAAGGACATTATGAATGAAGTTCAAGACTTCTCCATGCCGAACAAAAATAAACAAGTCAGTAGCAATAAAGGGAAATTGGACAGTATGCTTGATAAGCTCATGAAAAGAAAATCTTGCGTGAGTACATTTTTAAGTACTACTAAGTTTCTAATTATATATATATATATATATAATAAATATATATTTATATATATTTATTTATGTATATATATTCTGTTTAATGTCTAATTTATCTCTTAACAGCCGACAGAGGAACCGGTAGTCGGAAAAGAGAAGAAGCGCAGGAAATTGGATGAAATAGTATTGGGGTTGAGCGCCGCAAAGGAACAACAAAGCGGTCATTATCTCGAGCACAGCAAAAAGAGTACAATTACACCTAACGTGACCGTGACTCCGACATCGGCACCGATCGGTCTTCCCAATCCTCCGACAAGTGCTCAAAAACCGTTCTCCATTACTGTTACATCAATTCCGTCTTCTCGAGCTTCGAGTTCTTCTACGTCCGTTTTACCGCCACCGTCGTTGCACTCGCACAAAGATACCTTCTCCGCTTTGCTGGCTCAGGCCGAGCAACAGAATCGTGAATTGAAAAAACAGCAGCAACAACAGCAG